TATCTATCTATCTATACATACATACACACATCGAAACCCCCTGAAAGGAGTAAACCCAAGCCGAAACCCTGAAAGGAGTAAACCCAGGCCGAGACCGAAACCCTGCTGAAAGAAGGCCAGTGACGCAAAAACAAAGGACACACGTGAGGGAGCACCCGGAGTGGGGAGTTTACAAATTGGCTATTTTTGGCGTGAAAGAGAGAAAAACAAAACAAATACAGGAGAAAAAAAAAACAAAAAGAATACCTAAACTAATTCTGAAGCCGAAATTTCAGGCCTATATCATGCAGAGAGACATCTCTCCGGCCACTCGGTGCGAGCAGCAGGTATGTCAAATCTGTGGAATAATGAAAGTATTGGTGCTTGGGTCAGCCTCTGTAAACGAACTGAGGTTATGGGCTGGGAAACTGGTCGCAGATCTGAGCCGGCCTTCATGGACATGAATTTGCGACTCAACTGACATGCTGACCTGTGGCCGGCAGAGCTAAACATTGCCAATTCGTCCACTGGTAGCTTCTTTCGTTGCAATCGCAGTCCGCCCGAAGGCGCAGTCCCCATTAGCAGTTCAAAACCTCGTGCAGCAACTCTTATGCCTTCCGTTCTGCAATCTCAGGCATGCGATCAGAGGGAAGTCTGATCCGCAGGCACATGCAATCGACTGGGACGGGATAGTAGTTGACGTTGGGATGATCCGTTGTTTAGAGTGCTTGCAGTGCCGCCGTGGGCTCAGAGGACGGAGGACGGATTTGTGCATCTACTTTTGGGCGCATCGAAGTTTTCCATCTCGAGTTCTAGCACTTGCTGGGGCGAGTGCATCTTGTAACATGCAGGTCGTTCTGTACCAGAACGATGAGAGTGAAGTCATGCACCTTGGCAAGCAGAGGGGGCGTCAGTGTGGACAGGTCCTTAGTGGTGGTGAAGATTGAATGGCATAAGCATCTTCGTCATCTTGCTCCGAAGCTGATCTTGCACATTGGTTGGGCCCCCTGATTGAAACATTTGCAGGAATCCGCGCGGCCTGTTGATCGCATACGCAGAAGCATTTGTCAAGCCGGTGCCTGGCCGCAAGATCTGTATCCGTATCCGAGCGACAATGCATGTGGCATAACGTGTATGGCTGTGCGGACTTCACGGGAGTTGAGAGCCCAAGTTCCAGAACGTGCTTTTGCATTCGCTACATGTTAGGGCAGTTCCCAGAAGCGCGTTGACATGCAGATTAAGAGTTGGTATGCAGGGGGAAGCTCAATGACAGCTTACAGCTGTTGGTTTCTACACTCGAAGCTGGCAGGTCGTGTCAGATTTTGACACCTTTACGGTTGGCTCCATGAACATGGTCTACGAGTCCTTGCCGGCAGAACAGGCCCCGTGGCTTCCATCAGACACGGTGAAGCTTGGAGCACCCCCACCTATCACCAGCCGTAGAGATCTCAAAGTGTTGACGAAGACGAAGCGCGGTTCGACAGGCTGAGCTGATCAAGTGGCTCTTGACACACACAGAGGACGGCGCTGTCTCAAGACGGCTGTAGAGTTTGTCCTGGTGCACGAGTCGTGCGATGGTCGTTATGTCACAGGACATTCTCGGATCTCTGGACCACCAATCCTGGAACTCGCGTTGGCTGGAAGTCCTGGCCAAAGAAAATGAGCGAGGATTCCACCCAGTGATGCTCGACTGCAGAGACAGCGGGAAAAGCACCCGAGCCGTAGGCAAACTCAAAAGCCTGGGAAAACAAGAGTTCAAGCTGCGTGCATAAACGACTTGCAGGTCACTATAGCCCACTCAATCTGAGAAGCCTCGATTGCTCGATTTGCTTGCAAGCTGCCACTAGTGAAGGATCCCAAAGTTCGGCTTCGGCGACCCAACATCGCTCCTTGGGCCCGCAGAGTGTGCAAACCCGTCATGGCGCCGTGGTTTTTGCCGAAAGCCGCGACGTGAAAGTTGCAGCCTTGCCACGTCCCGCGAAGGTATCGCTTGATTCAAGACGTTGCTTGGTCGAACTTGCTGATACTTTCTGTGAGCAGCTAAAAACTGTTGTGGCAATTATGGGAAGGTCATCGAATCATGAACCATCTCCGAACACAGGTCATTGCAGAGACTGCACCTTGTGGCGCTGTGCGCCACGGTGCTGAGTGTGACCTGGCTGTCCAGAAAGGTGTGTACGCAACTTCAAGTTGGACGGTTCCAGCCTGTGCAAAGCACCCGAGCATCCGAGGCTGCAATCTGTACTTTCCCCAGGTGTCCCGGTTGCCTCGGGGGCTGGGGGAGAGAAGCGATCAATAGGCTCGCCGCAATAGCTTGCCTTGAAGCACGCACATGCGCTGCTGCGAGGAGCTGGACGATGAATACCTCATTGTCTGGCAGGGCTTCGAGGGCAAACCCTGGGACTACACCACCGAGGTGCAAGCTCGGCAGTGTTCCCTGATAGTATCACTACTAATGCAGGATGAAATGGAAGATGGACCGCTCAGCCACCTGTGGCAGGCTGGTCTTCGAGACTTCCTCCTGAAGAGGGTGCGCCTGACAAGATTGATCTCACATGGTCTGTCAGTGGTCTTGGATTTTTGGTCAAACCGCAAGGACATTGTTAGAATCTGCTAGAACGGGTTGAGAAAGCGTGTGGATTTGCGCTTCTGCGCCTGCTGCCAAGAGCCTACACTGCCAAGGCGTCCTTCGGATTCAATCCTTCCGTAGTCGTTTCAGTTTGAAAACATGGAGCCTTTGCCTGAGGTTCACGAAGGCTACACCTTTCCTCTGAATCCGGTCTGGCCTGTAAGGGACAAGGGATGGTGGGCCGCCGGGCTGAAGCATGCACTTCAGGAAATGTTCACTTCGAGAAGGCAGCCGCTTGCGTCTCTAGGACTGCTAGGAGATGGCGAGGAGTCCTCTTTTTACACGGTGGGTTTTTGGCTCAGCCAAGGAGATCCTGGAGGCTATGCTACAGCAGCCAACTGCAAAGCCACTTCAAGTTCAATTGAGAGATTTTACATCTATCTGAAAATCGGAGTGTGACGACATGTAGTCCTCTAGCTGGAGACTGGTTTGTAGGCTTCCAGTGGAAGTTCCGACGTCAGGCCAAGGGCGAACCCAACAGGGTCCCATCGTCACAGCTCGGTCTCACCTCCCTAAATGCGGAGCATGCAAGAGATGATACCGCGGGGGATATGTCTCAAGGCTTGCGATGCAAGCATTGCCGTGAATGGGCTGTAAGTTGAGGCGAGGTGACGAGTTTCCAGGAGTGCTTGGCCGGTAGCCGGTAGGCGTTGCCACAGCAGGGAGACCACTTGGAGATGTAAGAGCGCCAAGGAAATGCTTGGAGTCATGGATCCCTCCGGAAATCAAATATTTCGTGGCTGAGTTGCATTCGAGGCATCTCTTCTCTGTGGTGTGTGAATGCTCTTTTCTCTGCTGACCACTGGCTTCCTACGGAAGTTGCATGTCATGGCCTCCTCTCACTCTAGGTGTCATAGGCGGGGCAGGGCACGTGGAAGTCAGAAGTGTGCATGTGGACAGGACTCAAATGCAGGGCTCTGAGATCCAATCACAACACCAGCAGCCAAGGAAGCGGCAGAAGAGCTGCACAACAAATTCAAGGATGGCTTCATGATTGTCCAGAAATAGTGGACAGCCTCCGTGGCGGCAGATGGACATGTTGGTCCCAGCCGTTGGGAGTAATCTTCGATTGCAAGATTGAGGCATGCATCTGGCCACATCTATGCCTGCAGCATCAAGTCGTGTGCTGACGGCCTCCGATGTTTCATGGTTTCACCGACTTGGGCTGGCAAGTGCGCGGGAAGCTCGCGGGAAGCCCAAGAGAATGTCTCACATTTGCGTTCTTGAGGCGGTCGGGCATGGCGCGCCGCAGGATTATCTCGGAGGAGTGCCCGTGAGCTGTTACAGTAACCAGTGGTATGGCATCCTCCCATGAGGCCGTATTTCTGTCTCCTGTCATACAAACTCGGGCTCACTGACGAGACCAGGCTCCTGCGATGGATTCACATCAGGAAAAAATTGCTCAAGCATCCTCTCTCTGATGTGTCGAACGACAAGCAGAGACAAGTTTGACATGGGCTGCACTCAAACCGTCCAATAGACTACCCTGTTAGCACACGGTGGGATGCATTGCCCAACTGCTTCCCAAGAGCTCGAGGTGCGACCGCATACGTTGCTGTAACGGGCTAAGCTTAGGTGCACGCTTACGGGCTTGACAGGTCTTCGGGCTTTCTGAAAAGAGTATTCCCGTGCCCATTCATTTGAGTCAAAATCTTCCCGATCCAGCAGTATTGGAAGACTGTAACGAGGGCCATGCTTCTCTTATGATCTTAGGCGCAGCCCTGTCAATGTCGCAGAGAGGATGCCAGTCACCACCGCGCGGAATCGGTCAGGTTTCAGCCTAATATGCGGAGGGACGAATCTGGCATTGTACCGGGTCGTGAACACAGACAGACGGGTCGACAGTGCGGGCGAGAGAGACAGAAATCTTTTCTGTGGTGACAAGGAAGAGAGAGCGACCGAGAGAGAGAGAGATTTTGGCTCAAGCATTCAAGCTCCGGATCAAGACTGGTAGCCATGGGCACACGTGTAGGTACTCCCTGGATAGCGCTCGATGGCTTACGCAGTTATCTGAAGTATGTTGATGGCGATGTGTCTACGTTGGACAAACGGCTCGTTGCCCTTGTCCAGACGAAAGACACTTTTCACAACCTGGAAGCAGGCAAACTGGTCAATAGCAAGAAGGCTCCAACTCCTCAGTCGCTGAGATTCAAACAAGAGATGATCGCAGTCTTTTGGTACATGCGCGAGATGGATCGGTTCTATCGCGATTTGGACGATTTCGCTCGCGACGAAAGCAATATTGCAGCGATGTCAAAGTACATCAGCGCACAGTTCCGCCTCGGAAAGATGACCGAACAGGTTGCAGCACAATTGACTAACACGGTCTTGTGCGTGGATGATGGATTAAAGCACCTTTCAGCAGCAGCGCGCTGTCTTGTGCATGTTTTGCAATCTCTTTGCGAAATGACTAGAAAATGGACCAGAGTACCGAATACCGGGAAATTTGTCTTTGAAGCCAAACGAACACACGGCGGTTTCTTGCTACAGATGAACAATGTCATCACATTGATGAATGCATCTGCAATTGAAGAAGCTCTATCCTTCTTGAAGCTGTGGTGTGGACTTGACATGGCGAGCTTGTGCTCTTTTCCAGATTCAATTGCCGACCAAAAGGCTTTTGAAAAAGATCTTCTCAACGAGGCTCAACTACTACTCATTGAAGCGAGCGGTTGCTTCGACAGCTTCGAGCTTGTTGCAATCGCTCGTCGATGTCATCTTGTTTGGTATGCCGCATTCACTGCTATAGCCCCGGACGACGACGTTGCCGAGAGCCTGATGGTTGGAAAATGTGGAATTGATCTGTATCAGATGTCTGCGAAAGATGAGGACCTGCGACTGCCGATCGAGCGACTCAGGGAGCACCGTCTGAAGCATGGGATCATGTGCGCAGAACTTATTGCAAAACTTTATCATGGTCTACCGGCGGCCGGCACCCTTCCGACTTACTTCTTGACCGAAGAGGCTGGCAGAGGATCATTGAAAAGTTCTCTCGATGAACGGCGGTTCCTAGTTTTTAGCAAAGCATTCATCGCTGCACGTTGTAAGTCCGTTGCGTAGAGCAAAGGTCCGGGCCTCAGCGTGTAGAGTTTTGTAGGTGCAGCGTGTTTCAGAGGCAGTGCAAACTAGGGGGGATCCATGGCCTAGGGTGACTTGCGAGTTGTTTGTGGGGAATACAGCACAGCCACCGTTCAGCGGCAACAAGCTGCGAGACGGAGTACAGAACACGCAGCCAGAACATGTGGCGATGAGATGCGGCCGGGGGTCACTAAATAAATAAGTCGACTTCAGGGGGGGTTTGCGAGCTCATACCCGCGGCCTCATCTTGTAGAGGGGTTGCAGACAGACCTTGACGACCAGTGCGCGTGCGCGCGCGGGGGGGCTCGCCCCCTTTGGCTGTGCTGAAGAAGAGAGAGAGTGCGGAAGCATCGATGTCTTTTTACCGACACCCCCACAAGGCCCTTAAACAGGGGCGCGCCATCCGGCGCGGGGAGCCTAACCTGCTCCCTGTACCCCGGAGAAGAAGAAGAAGAAGAAGAGAGTGCGGAGAGAGAGAGAGAGAGAGAGCGCACCGTTCGCGGGGAGGGGCTTTCCGGCTTTTCCTTTGGCTGAGTTGAAGAAGAGCGCACCGTTGGGGGTAGGCCTTCGGGCCAGGGCTCTTCGGAGTCCATACCCCATGCAAGCCAGCAAGAAAGAGCACAGTTTCAGGGGTCCGTGAGGTGAGGTGAGGTGAGGTGAGGTGAAGTGAAGTGACGTGACGTGACGTGAAGTGAACTCAAGTCAAGTGAAGTGAAGTGAAGTTAGAGAGAGGGGGAGGGGTTTTGGGGTAAAGGGGGAAATCCCCTTGCCCCTAGCCCCGGCGAAAGAAAGGGGTTTTGGGGCTGCCAGCCTCGCATGCCCCGGAGCAAAGCAAAGCAAAGGGGGAGGGTTTTGTTTGTGCAGGGGGGACAACAACGCGGCATGAGCAAGTAATTCATGCAGGTGTCCACATGAACACAGGGGAACATCTGGGTTCCCATAGTTATTATGTACTTCCTGATGCTGATGCAGTCCTGTGAACTTAAGTTGTCACGTCTCCTCAAAGCCCCATAACACATGCGGGGCCCCAGGTGGCCAGGGAATCTATGCCCTGTAGACAGAAGGGGAGGGAGAGAAAGGACCCGACCCGAACACCGGCGTAGCGCACTGTTTCGGGGGAAGGGGTCTCTCTGAGGACTTTAGGAAGGACCCCTAACAGGGACCCTTAATCCCATTACCTTAGCTAGGCATTGTATAGTCCTTATATACCCCTTATATAGCCAGGTAGACTCTACAGTAAACCCAATATCCTACAAGGGTCCCTATTAGGGGTCCCTCCTATTGTCCCTTAAGTCTCAAGTCCGCAACCCCACACGCCCTGCAAGCAAGCCAGCCAGCAAGCCAGCAAGCAAGCAACCAGGCAAGCAAGAAGCGCGGACGCGCGCATCCGCATTGCGCGGGGGGGAGAGAGAGAGAGAGAGAGATAGAGAGAAAGAGACGGAGAGAAAGAGCGGGGGAGTTCACGATGTGTGGAAGATCTTCTCCGGGGGATTTCGCACTCGTTACAAATAAACACCTCGGGCTCTTGTCAATCTAGCCGTATCGTCGTTGCAGCAGCTAGAGGTCGTGCTCAGAGTGCGGGGGACAGTAGCTGAACTCAAGGTGTCCATGCAGGATAACTTACCGGGGGACCCATGCATTTTTTGAGTTTTATCTTCAGCCTGCCTGTTGAAGTATATATGCTTGGTACGTGAGTCCGAAGCACCGGTGTGTCATAGTATCACAGTCCCTTCAATAAGACCCATAAAAAACGGCGGCCGTAATGGCCAGGGGCTTAAGACACTCCCAATGCCCTTTGGGGCGTGAGTGAGAGAGAAAGAGAGAAAGCGTGAGCGAGAGGGGGGAGCGAGGCAAGCCCCAAAGCCAGCCAACCACCTGTCCAGTGAGTGGTTGGGCCCAGGGGCCGCAGGACGCACCCCTGGTCCTCGCCCATAGAAAGAAACGCGGAAAGGACGCCAGAGAAGTGCAAGACGGAAAGTGGGGGTTCTTAGTGGTGTGGTATAAGCAACATCCAGGAATAATCCAGCAGTTTTAGCAAGCCTCCTTGTATTTGTGACGCCCACTGCAAAAAATCATCAGACTCAGATTCCTCAGTTTCGGTGGTGAGGCCGTGATAATGTTGTCTGCTCTGCCTGCTTGCTCGCCGGCACGTTGCAGTGAGAAGTTGCCATTCTTGTACATGTGCACTGCAGCGCGTGGAGCTCTCAACTGAGCATAGATCGGATAGGCCTGGTGCGGCAGCCTAGCCAAAGGGACAGGTGCGACAAGACAAGACGCTGGTCGTCTGCCAGCACCAGCCGTCACGAATCCCCGTGTTGGGGAATCTGCTTGTCTCACGTCCTCCTTCAGGATTTGAAGAACTGTTGTGGACCCAAAGTTGTTCAAGAGAGTCTTCACGGATCTGATGCATCTTGAAAGAGGGTCTGGGCAGGTAGTGCTAGCGGCACTTGACGTGTTGCGGAGTGGAGATGTTCTGCAGCGTGCTTTTACCAGAACTAACCAGACATGTGGGAAAGCAGCATGAACATCTACCTGAGATTTTTCTTGCTTTCAGGAGCGAGTGCAAGCACGTCAGCATGATCGAGCAGCATACCAAATGACCTGTCATTAAGCCGTACCTGTTCATTGAGAGTCACTTGCTGACATGCTATTTTATGTCAATGTTTCATCTCTGACGCGATACCCCGAAAGTGTGGAAGTCAGGGACAGAAAAAGTGTATGGCAAGCTGACAAAACGGCTGAATCCGCTGCGAGTAGACGCGCATTCGAGCATGTCAAAGCTTTGCACAAGCACTGCCAACATCTCGGAGCCTCTACGAACCGGTTACATCCATCCACCAGAAGTCCTCAGCGTGCCTGTCTGCCAGGTCAAGCCGAGAGGCTGCCCTGCATGTGTCATCAGCACTTAGCTCTTTCAGTGACGGCCCGTGTGTCCGTGCCTTTCGTCCATTTTCGTCCTGCCATCAAAAGCTGATCACCAGCGCTTTCAAGTCCAGACGCTCCTGGAGGTCGGTCTTAGCATCGCATCTGAAGTTTGGCCGAGCCTGTGGCCCGTGCCCCAGCCCCATGTAGTGAAGCAGCGATGGTTTCCGTGTTGGCCGAGGAGTCTGACGCTTCACGGTTCCTCAAGAGGCTGCGGCTAATCTGGGGAGTGGCACTGCCCCAAAGCCCATGAGCCAAAGAGTGTTTGGAAACGACTTGACGATTTGCCCTGACTCTGCATGCGGTCTTCGGCCTCACCAGGAATCGAGCTGCGTGCGAACAGCGGTTTGAGTTCGGCCAGCCAGGAGAGGAAACGCAATTACCAGTTGAGATGGCTGGAGAGCGGTTGGGATTGCAATCGCAAGAGCAATGCTCAGCCTCGACATTATTGACAAAGTGCTCCACGCGGTTCAAGGACGGTGACTTCGATGCCACACCTGTGCGAGAGGCCTGGGCGGTGTTCCGATGCCTGGCGTACCGACGCGAGAGATACACGGGCAGATTGCAAGCACTCAGCTGTCGGGTCAGGCAGGCGATGGGCATTGGGGTCACAGCCTTGGTCGCTTCATTTTCTTGAATCGTAGCTTTGGCAGGAGACGGTGCTGATTGGCCTAGTGCATGCTTTCTCCAAGGTTGGTACCCAGAAGACTCTATGGAGTTGGCTGCAGTGTTGGCACAGGATGCCCGGAACATTTGGAGATTGTGGCAGTTGGCGAGATGCATGAAGCCTTCGCAGGTTCGACATGTGAGAAACCTACCCTGCTCTGGTTCGACGTGCTAATAGGAGCCTGGCATGTCTGGCTGGGACAAGGCCGACGAATGTGTGGGCCTGGGAGCACGGGATGGCTTGCTGACACCTGACACCCGTGCCACGAAGCACCGCCAAGGTTTTCACGGTGCTGGAAAGATGCAGGTGAGCGGGCTGCAGAGGGCCCGGAACGCTACTTGTAGTTAAGTTCACCCTTCAGACGAGGACATGTACGTAAATAACCTTCAAGGGCTGAGTTTTGTTGCTCACTGTTACTGCATCTAGCCTGGTCTATAGCATCATGTTCACTGTGCAGGTCGCTGAAAAAGGGGTTGTAGCTGGAAGACCGTTACCAAGTTCCCGGGCCCGCCTTGTGGTCAGAAGTTTGAGAGTACACGCCTTCATTCCTTCATCGAGCTACGCAGGCGCACGGCTTGACAGACAAGGGCGGGCCGAGGCAGGGACCGACCGGCCCACGTTGCGGGTTTTGCAGTGCCGAAGCAACTACAGGCTCATGGCTCCAATCATGCGCCTGGACGTGTTTCTGGATGAGGCGGTCCCAGACTTCCCGTTTGCCCAGGCCGTGCTGCGGAGCTTGAGCTGAGCTCTGTCAGGAAGTGCCAGGCTGCCAGGACCATTTCTCGAAGATTTGTGGATGCTTTGCAAGCAAATGAAGTGTAAGATTGAATCCGGTCGGTCTGCGGCGTAAGCGGTGTACTCTACGGCAGTGGAAGCCTTGCGGTAGGCTCCCAGCGTGTTTCACGCATTCCTGGTAATGACAGACGGCTGAGCTCGAAGTTCTGCAGGCAGCGAAAGTGCCTGCGGTCTGATGATGTCACCCTCTGAAAGAAAGTCTTTGACCCCGGAGTGTGGACGCACCTCATTTTCGCCTTTCAGTGAAGTTGGGTAGCACTGATGCTGGTTTCACGGCATCTGCAGCAACCTAAGTCGGACAGCATATTATGCACCCTCTTTTGACCAGGGTGTTTGGCAGTCGTCGTCACGCTGTGCACACTCCGGTCTGTCTTGATCCTGCAAGATCGGACGTGTTTTTTAACTGGAGATGGAAGGGCAAAGGCATGGATCGGTCACGATAAAGAATACGTCGAGGATTGCGGCCTTTCATAGGCATGCGAATGATCCATGACCTGCCAGAGCCACAAGGTTGCTTGAAGCCCCCACCTCCAGCGAATTTCACAAGCTGACTCCATGAGATGATGTGACATCCAGCAGCTGTACCGTTTTGGTTCTGACTCAGGTGTGCAGCCACACGGATCGTGAGGATATCGCTGCGCTCGTCTCTATATGCTCGGGGAAAACCGTCACTCACGCAAGCAGTGCATGATCCTCTGTAGGCTTTCAACTTTTTCGGAACAAGCACAAACATTGACAGAAGGTGCAGCAAACGCACAAACACACACAATTGCCATGCAATGTGGGCAACCGCTGTTGTGTCCTGTGGCCTCTGTAGATGATGGCTTGAGCAGCCAGCCACAACAGTAACGAACCAAATATTGTGACTTGTTGGAACACGAAGCAGTGGGGTGTCATGAGAATCGCATAGAGTTGAGCGGTAGTGAAGATGCAGCAGACGTGAGTGAGAACAGGCGGTTGAGCGCAGACGGTGCGCAGAGGGCAGAATAAGATGTTGTGGATGTCACGTGTTCAGGTGTTCGGGCTCATGTCTGCAGCTTCGACAAGAATACTTCATGTTTAGGCTTAGGACAAACTCTTTCCGGGCAGGCAGGGCACCATCTAGGCCCTAGGCCTTCAGGCATGAGTCACAGTTCGACATGGCAAGATGCTAGATGATGCCGTTAGTCGCATGCCCCCATCCAACACTTTCCCGGCAGGCGAGGCATCAAATCCGCAACCCAACGCAGAATTCGCAGTTGATAAATAGCCACCAGCATATTCGAACAGCTTCTTGATGCCTTGTCGGTGCCTCCGTCGCGCCTCCAGTGCATGGAGCTTGCATGAGATTAGGGTGCGAAAGACACTCCTAGATGATGCGTGTGACCTGTCAAGACAGGCTGGAGCTTCAGGGTGCTTCAAATGTTTCATGCAACCCATTGCTCAATCAGCAGACCTGAAGCCTGAATGGGAGCAGAGAGTTGCGACATCGAACACGCAGAGGTCAGACGCCGTGCCGACAGCGCTTAGGATCGGACCCCGGTGCACCAAGACCTTGTCCGCAGGCGATCTTACTGGACAGTGGCGCCGTACATACGAATGCTTTCGAGTATCCATTCGTCGCATGTGGAGAGGGGATGGCCTGCACCAGGCACAGGAAAGTTAGAGCAGGGCTGCTGTGCTTCGTGAAATGCTGTAGTGTGGCAGCCCGCTGGTATGTCATTTCTGAGCCGGCTTGGCCTTTGCTGGGCTGCTTTCTGCTCAGACATGTACATCAAGCTACGGCAGGCATAAGGACGGCAGACTTTCGTTGCGTTCGGCTTGCGCAGAGTGGTAGATTAGTTGTTGTCGGTCTTTGCTCACCGAGTACAGACATTGTGAACTTTTGAAGAACCTCAGACGACTGGATGCAGTCAGGTCAAGGGCACTTCTACGGCAATGGTTGGACATTGCACGCACGCAGTGCGATAAATTCCTTTTCGCACAGTGTATCAGCAGGGACTCCGGTCAGATTGGATAATGATCATGCCTTTGACGATGCCTGTGTTCCCTTTGCTAGAGATCAGTGGCAGTTTTTCTGAGGCATGCGCATCAAACAGTTGAAGCAGTCCGGAGGGCAGGGTGGTCAGCTCGTCTTCAATCGGGCAGATGCTTCTAGAATCAGAAATGGCGGCGAGAGCTGGATTCTTGTCCGAACCTTAAGCTGGACTTGGGCCGCTCGCATCTCTTGGCTCTGTTGCCGAGAGCACTACAGCTAAATTAGCGACTGCCGTGCAACTTGAAGCAGGCACAAGGTCAGTACATACACTTACATGCTGAAACAAATTTTGAACACAGCTTAGACTGCTGATGCTGTGTCAGACAAATTATTAAGAAGCACAGTTGCCTGGCCAGTACCTGTGTGGCCGCACATCAATGGTCCACTTCTCAGCTGTTTTTGTATTCTGAGTCTCTCGGGCTGTGTGTTATTGAGCCGGAGTCTCTACGCCGCTTGCTGGATGGGGTGCATAGGGTTTTAAGGGCATGAGGATCTTGGCAACATGCGATTGTCTGGACGCTGTGTTCGGCGTTGGCGAAGAAACAGCCTGAAGGCACCCGAAGCCTTGATTTTGCCCTCGGGCCCCAGAGAGATAACACCACTTTGCGGAATCCCGGATCCTGACTACATCGCTCGCCCAGGAGTCTGAAGCCTCGGGCTGAGCTGAGAGTTTCAGAGAGCACTCGTCAGTCATGTCAGTTATGTTGGCTGGATGCGCCCGGGCCCAAATGGCAGTTAGTTCTCCCAGAAACTCTACGAAGATACTTATCACTACTTGTACTTGTACCGTTCGACGTGCGCTGCATGCTTCTGCACTGCCCTCAGTTATGTCTCGATCCCAACTGCACTTGAGCCAATGTCGGCGTCCTCGGCCCAATGAGCGATGCCGGCGTGGCCGAAGCGCGCCGGCGCCTCGCCGCCATGCGCGGCAGCTTGGAGGGCCTCCGCCAGCACCAGGCCCTAGAGCGGGTGGGGAGCCCGCGACGAGGGGCATCTCCGTGCGGATAGGCGCGGCTGGAGGCGGTCTGTCGGCAGGCGCAGGAGAGCTCGGGCAGCGCCGCACGCAGTCACGCAGTGCCTGGGCTTCGTTCGTGGACTTCTGAACTTCTTGAGGACAGGGAGGCAAAGCTGAAGACGCAGCTTGAGGAGCTCCTCACTGAGGCTGAGAAGGCACGTCCGGGGGTGCCGGTGCGCAGCGGGCGCAGCGGGCGCAGCCGCACGGTTTCAGATCCTGTCCTACGTACTGCGAAGGTCAAGCCAAGGCGAGAGGACATCGAGAGCTTGTTCTACTCCGATCAAGGCCTCTTCTGATGCAGTGCGGTTATGGAAGAGTCTGGCGATAGTTGGCATAGACCGAGCGTCATGAACACGCATTGCAGGGCTACAGTTAGCTAGCAGCGGATATAAGTACAATGACATGAACACAAGCCTACAGGTGTACTTTGTCACTTGTGTTTAGCTGTTTGGCCAGACACTTGCATGCACAGGCTGGGGAACATGGGAGCAGGATTTTCGGCGCGTCTGGGTCGCAATGGGCCATCGTGCATGTAGAGCTTCCGAAAGCAAAACCGCAAGCGAAAAAAATTGGAAGATGGGCGCAGGCGTCTGGTCCGCGAATGCCAAAGCTGCATCCAGCTTGCCAAAAGCGCTTCGGCCGCTCCAGGCCGTCCCGGGCCGGACCTCGAAAGAGAGAAAGAGAGGGACCCTCATGGACTCACGGAAGTATGGGGATCTGCTTGGTCGCATGTAGCCGTAGGAGGTTGGCGTGGGTTGCCTTCTGGCGGGACACAGTGCAGCCCGGAGAAGCCACATCGTGAAGTCGTCTCGATGCGTTTGCAGCTGCTCAGGCCTCCGTGCTCTTGCCGAGTTACCAAAGAAGCGGGGCCTTCTTGTGCAGAGCCTTGCCTGCCACTGTGGACAAGCACCCTCACGTCGACTTTCGTGGCCGCGGTAGTGTGATTTGCGGCACAAGAGAAGCCGCCGAAGCCCAAGCCATCTCAAGCCTGCTGGGCCTCAAGATTGTGCACTTGTCAGGCGAGTCCCCCCTCGCGGCATTCCTTCCTGACTTTGCCAGCGCAGAGGACAGCTTATTAACAACCCCCTCGGTGGCAGCCATGCTCTTAGGCCTCTGCCAGACTTTTTAGATGTAAAGTTGGTATTCAGGTAGCACCGCTCCTCAACAAAGGTACCGAATTCCAGCGTCCAGTCAACGACGTAGTTTGCAAAGCACCCAAACGAATGCACGTTAAGTCATTGGATTAGAGAATAGACAGAAACCGTGCGACGGTCATTGCTTTGGCTCTTTGGCAAAACTACCACCCCAGTGTGTCACGAGCAGGAATGCGCCCAACTGATTGAGTTGGGCTTCCGGACCTGCAGGTCAACACCTCAGAGGTACGACGGAAGAAAACATGGTGACGGCGCCCGGATGGGGCCCTGCGTTTGCAGACATTTTCTTGTTAGTGCAAGATGGCGGCGTGGCCAAAACTCGAGCGAAACGCGCGTTTTGTATGGGTCGTGAGCTTTCACAGGTGCCGAAAACACTCGAAGCTCCCGCACACTTTTCGCGAAAATGTATTTTCACGAGGCGTTTGTTGAACTTTTGACGGTTTGTTTTTGTCGGTGGGTCTTGAAAATTCAATTTTTCAGGATCAGTTTTGCTTGAAAATCGTGCTTTCGCCACAGCGCGGATGTGTTTTGCACTGTAAGCATTTTGTGTTTTCGGAGGCCTTTGTTTCTCCGGAGAGTGCTTTTTTCAAGGGATAGCTTGAAAAAGAAAAGCTGCAAAATCGTGCTCTGGCCACAGCACGGGGGCGTTTGACACTTTTTTCTGGCGGCAAAGTCATGTTGCAGGTTTGAGTTGCTTAGAGTCCGGTGCTGTTCTACAGAAGGTAAAGCCTTGAAGCTTGTCTAGGCAAGAAGCTTCCGGGATGTGCGATCTGCAAAATGCACATCTTCATGTCTGCGCAAACCGGATGTCAATAAATCGCCCCCACCCCCCCCCACCCCGGCCATCAAGAGTAGCAGAGAGCAGGAGCACACCATGCAAACATCACCATTAAGAGTAGCAGAGAGCAGGAGCATGGCAGCAGCAACGTGAGGCAAGTCATCGTCAAGAACCCTCCCCCCCACCCCGGGTCCGAAATGTGTCCAAACGCAGGGCCCCGTACGGGCGCCGTTTCCAAAAACATGTCCAAAAGCCATAATCGTCCACATCTCACCATTCGAAAGCCGAGGCGTCACAACGAAGACGCGCAGGAGCTTCTGGAGATGTGAGAAGAGACTCAGAGTGGGCAAGGAAACTTGCATTCGTCAGGAGATGCAGCGCACAGGAGAGGCCTCCGCGGAAGTGCTCCGCGGGGTCGCCACTGCCTCTCTGGAGGCGCCACGCTGACTGTGATGGTTTCGAGGGTTCCAGCAGAAGCAGTTCCCCGGTTTGCTGCCAGGGGACGGTAGCAGGAGTAGACGGTCTCAACGCCATAATTTCAGGATTTGCATAAACTTCTTGCGACAAGATCCGGATGGTGATCCGGGGGATCAGCATGGAAACGCAGTGGTCGAATGTCGACCGATGGTTCTTGTCGCTGTAATGCCGCCTGCGCGACAAGCAGTCACAGTTTCGTCCATTGGAGGTTTACGGCACGTGTGTAAGATGCCGTTGAGGAGAATCTCAATGCTTTCCCGTGCTTGTCTGCTTGCCAGGTCAGTCGTCTCTCTGGTGCGGACAAAATGTTGATGCTGGAGATGCAGCAGCGCGTGACCTGACTGACAAATCCAGAAACTTCCAGCGCTGGAGAGGCATGTAGACGAAGCGAAGCGAAACTGCGTAAGCATCCCAAAGTGCAGCCCTCGGCCCACATTTGTGAGAGAGAGGGAAGATTCTCTCAGACTGTATGGCCAGGTTGCATCCTTGACCGGCATCCCCATCCATGGGCAAGCCTTTCGGCTTCTCACTTGTGGAGGCTCTAGAAAAGCAGCGTACTACGCGCCATAACTAAGGAGATCAATCCTTTTCTGAAGTTCGATCAGCCGGCCCAGGGGGGCCATGTGCCAGGCCCGGCTTTTGCCCGCAAGCCTCGCGGAGGGTCCCCACTCCGGAGGAGACGACCTGAGCATCGGCTTGCATCTGGATGTTAATGGCGGCTTTCCTCATTGTGTTTGCTCTATCATCCTCTACTTGAACGAGGCTTCTGACGACCGCCGAATGCCCTAGCTGTGTCAATGTTGAAAAGACTGTTCCTGCTTGCAGAGATCGCGGCCCTACCATGCGGCGCAAGGTGGAGAGTGGCGGACGGACGGTTTTCCCATGTGCGGAAACACCGAACGCGCATGGGGAGGAGGACGAGCTGCTCTAGCTATCATCATCTCATGCACCAACTGGTTTTCTGTGATTTTGTTTTTTCAGCCTTCCGCACGCCGTCTCCCCGTCCCGTCACTGTATCCTTCTGACCCATGAGGAAGCATGCTCCCGAGCTTTGGGGGAAGTGCTTGCAGGCCAGACCATTGAACGGCATGGACGGAGGAGACGCTACAATTGTAGACGTGTGGCAACACGGGCATCATTGAATCACAGGGCTTGCCGTTGTTCGTTAGGTTTTGCCTTATGGTTTTGGGAACGTTGCCGCGACATAAAAGCAGATGCTTATCTACCTAGAACAGCCTCGTCGCAGGTGCTGGCCACACCCACACAAGCCATTCTGCTGTAGCAGAAGCACTTGGCGAACAGGCGCCTGCTTTTGCTAACGACTCCTGGAGTGGAGCCTCGAGTCTCGAGGCTGCAGAGCTTGTGCGACGAGCGAGTGGTCGGTTGGCCGGCCTGAGGCGGGATATCTTGCTTAAAGAGCTGGGGCAGACCCGATTAGAACATGGATGCAGCTTGTTGGCTTTGAAGCTGTGAGTATCTGATGTACGAACGGACGGGCCGTGAGATCTGATCTTCGAAGCGCTTGGTTTCCATCGTACGCAAAGCTCCAAGCCGTGGACGATTCAGGGTCGTGCCGCGACGAGGAGCCGCGCTTTGTTTCTCGGCGGTGGTAGAGTCCGTAGAGAATTGAGGCAACGAACTTCTCTCTGGTTGGCTTGCGCACGCAGTGCTCAACGAGGCTTCTTCACGCTGCGGCCGGAGGGGGCGGAGGGGTGCGAGAGCTTCGGGCCGGACCCAGCTTCGTGGCACGGCGGCGCTGCCGTTGCAGGCCGCTTGGGGCATCTCGCCTCGCAAGCAGCGTTAGAGTTCTGGTTCAGCGAAAGCCACAGCTCTCGGACATGATTTTTGCTCGCGACATACGGGCCTGATATGCATCTGCAAGGAAGTGGACCTTGCAAGTCTTCAAGGCACCAGCCGGGCATGGCTAGACGATCCATGATAGCTGGGACACCGTCTGTTTTCACATCAGCAAGCCTGGGGCACCGGATGTCATCTCCGTAAATCCGTAAAGCTTGGTAGTGGCTTTGCTTGTCAGCTGCTTCCGGCAGTCGTGCACAGGAGGTGCCGATTTCGCACCGATGTGGTGGGCCTGCCGAAGAGGAGTGAAATCTCCAGTGTAAGTACGGAGGATGCCAGATCCCGGCAGGCGAGATACATCGAATCTCTGCGACAGCGCGTCCTCCAGGCTGCGCGCCACAGACGCACGCAGACGCAAGCTTGATGTAGGGGCCAGTCGGAGCCTTCGATATCTTGCGTTCGCCGAGGACAAGCATCGCTGCAACCGACTAGCTAAGCCCTGTGCGGCTCTTGCACTGTGCCACGAGACCTGACCATGTCCAAAGTTGACGAAGGAGTTGCAGCTTGTGGAGAGTCTCAGAAGACAGTTTTCCGTCCATGTTGGCCAGCATCAGGGTTGCTGATCTCTCCCATGGTTCATAGCCGATCTTGGGGTGGGTGGCACTATCTAGCCTCGTGCACTGCTCAGCGAGAGGATGCCGTCTTACCAAGTCATTTTGGACCAAACCCGGAAGAAACGCAGCGTTCAAAAGAACTCATGGACGAAGCCTCCGTTCTGACACCATTACGACACCATTGCCGCATTGCGATACGATACAACCCTAACCCTAAGTCAGCCTGCAACATCCCATGATATCTCACCTTCTGGAAACACTTTGCTCACGTGCAGCAGTGGGGAAATGGAAGGATTCAGTAAGACAGCATTTGCAGACGAGGCTTCGTCCTGTGAGTTCTAAGCCCATCATTTCTCAGCGCCCCTGGGCTTCTGACTTGGCGACATATCTCGGCTCGACATGCAGATCCTCGTGCCGCAGGTTGGGGGCTTTTGTGTATCTGCCTTGCAGCGTAGCATGCACGGACCCTTGCCTGTTGTCCTTCTGCGGCTAGGCAAGCTCTGAGTGCAGTTGTGCGCTGGAAGACTGCCACACGCCTAACACCTCTGTGTCCGAGTTTGCACAGCTGCCCCGTGGAATGGTGCCCACGAAGGTGAGTCATGTCATGGACGGAAAGTGATTGGCCTGTTGCTGGGTCAACTTCAGGTGGACGGGCTCCCACATGTTCGGTAGAGTCGATATAGAGCATGTTCTCCGAGACTTCTCGCAGGGCTTTCCTGTCACCAGCCACCCTCAGACTGTCAATCGCAGGCTGTGCAGGCGAGTCGGCAAGTGGCGACGCTGCTCCACTGAATTGCCCGGCCTGTGATGTCAGTGCCCGGTACCCTTCATTGGTGTTGTGTCGTGTTACTGAGGACACAGCCGGACGGCTGGTCTTGGGCAGGCTCCGACGGTGAGTGCTTCCGTTCATGTCGTTCCTCGTTCAAGGACACGAGCAGAGAGACTCTGCGCTTGCGAGGTGAGAAGCTTGAAGCTTGGGAGCAGAGCCCGATTCTTGTCTTCTACCGAGCCTGCAGAAGCCGTCGTTTGGGTGCACAACTGGTCTCTTAGGAGCCACTGAAGCAGCAATACTTCCAGAGACTAAGCCTGGCCAGGAAAGGGGATGAGACCTTGATCGGCCCTGACGGAGCTGTCTACGATGTTTTCTATCCCGGCATTTCCTGTCCGGACGAGAAGGCCCTGATACCAGCCAGGGTTAGGTCTCGGACGTCCAAGCCCTGAAAGGAAGAAACGTCGACCACTTGCAGCGACTCCGGAGGCACTCTGAAATCAAGATGTCATAGATGTCATACCCACAGTACCATGCAACTAGAGTAACTAGAGTCACTAGTGCACAGGCAGCCCAGGCCCACTACCCCGAGCACGCTCCGCGGAGTCGAGCATTGCAGGCCAGACCTGCAGCGACTTACACCGGCCTGCATCGCATTGACATATCGGTAGCCCAGAGTCGGGCACTGCATGGTCTGATCCACAGTCCTCAGCCCAATGTCAAGATGCCAGCTTCAGAGGTGTCGTGGACTTCATTCGAAGTGCGGCCGTGGCACGCTACCCTGCCAGAGAAAAGCTGTATGACGTGGTGCACAGCAGCCTGGTTGCCATGTGGGATGTTGGTGCGCAAGTGATGGGAAGGTCTCCACCACCAGTGCCTTGCAAGCGCTTGCTGTCTCAGGGGCTGCGCAAACAGCCCTGGGGAGCCATTTCCAGAGGCTAAGCGGGCTTTGTGTGCCTGGCGAAATGTAGACATGCTAGTAGCCCAACTAGCTTAACTAACACTCTTCGTCATCATTGATTTAACGTAAGAAAATTTGCTCTGCCCTCGCAAAAGCAGCGACATGCAACGGTGTGAACTGGAGACGTGTCCGTCAGCTCGATGATCTTTTGTTTCAAGTGGCAGTGTCGTCGAAGTTTTCGGCATGCCCTTTTCTGAACTGCTGCTCCAGTTCTGGAGCCTCTTACCCGCTTTGCCGCACTCTGTAGACTCATTCCACCGTGCTTGGTATAGATACCGTGGCCGTCGTGGCTTAACTCCTGTGCCGGAACAGGCCTGCAAACAAGACTGCCGCTGCCAATACTTCTACAAACTACTGGCCCCCTCCCGGTGTCAGTGGTATGCAACCTGTCAGGCTGGCGCTAATTGGCAGCACAGCGCTACGAATTGACACCCCTGACTCGGATCTGGACGTTGTGGTCTATACAGGCATCTGGCTGGCAAGCAGCATCCATCACAAGCAAGCTTGAAAATCTGTAGATCGAGGTGTTTGCAAGATACCCTTTTGCAGCGACGTAGATGCAAAGGAACAGAACCTGCTGCTGAAAGCTTTGGCTCGGACACACAAACTGGCTCCGTCGTCGTATCGCCCCCGCCATGGCTTTTCGCCTGACCTACCGCCGTCAGTGCCGCGGCCTGGCCCAACGAGCCCGATGAGCCGTTTCTTCTTTTCTCCGTGCGTCTTTTGCACGTGTTTGGTTCCTAAGGTTACAATACGAAGTCGAACAAGCAGCTGGGCGCCCAGCTGTGACGAAGGGCGCAACTTGGAGTCGAGAGCCGCGTTGAAGGAGGTTGCACGTTGCGGCCGTCCTGTATGAGGCGAGTCGTGAAGACGCCGGGCGGTAAGGCTGTGTACCAGGCCGTCAAGAAGCTTGGCCTTGTCCCTTTCACAATTCCTACGCTGTGATTTCTGGGGACAGCGGGATCACATAGTCATAGTGCGGAGCGGCAGTTCTGGTGCTCTGCAAACCGAGGAAGAAAGCCAAGGGCCCGCACTGCGGTGACTGCCACTTGTCTGACGGAGTTGGGGCTGAGCTCAGAGGGGCCGTGCCTCCGATGGCAAATGCCCCTAGGTGGCAAGGCATTGATCGGCCTCCCACGTTTGCGCCCCATCGAGTGGCCCGGCACAGCACGGGCTGCGCATAGCTGCACGAACCGAGCCGTGTCATCATGCGCTGTCACGGTCTCCCTTTTGCTACCACGGGGCGGCGAGGTACTCCCGCCTGAAGAAGCGCGAGAAGCACGTCAGCAGAGCTTATGGGGGATCCCGCTGTGCGATTCTTGGATTGAAATTAATTGTTCTTCAGAGTAGCAGTGCGAGGGATGCACATTGCATATTTAAGGGGAAGGCATAGTGCATGAATGACTCAAGCTTTCAAGTGAATGCCAGGCACTGTGTCCGAGAACGCATCGTGCGAGCCTTCCTGATTGAGGAGCAGAAGTGCGTGAAGCAGGTCAGGGCGTGAAGCTATTATCCTGACTATTTGAGAAGACTCGCCCTGCTTGCACCTGCTGACAGGTCCTTGCAGAGAAGCTGTCCCAGGCAAAAGAGAAGGAAGGTGGCAAGAAGAAGGGCAAGAAGTGAGGGCGGCAAGCGGATTCGATGGTGTAGGGCACATGTTGGATGGTGCGATGCCAGTGAAAACAGCGCGGCAGCGACAGTACCCGAACGCAAACTGTACCACACCCCGGGTACTGCAGGGAAATCCGAAAGCTCCCCAAGCGATAGCACTCCGAGTGAAGATCTCTGCGTCTGCACTCTCAACCACGGCTCAAGCTTGTTCTCGGTCGCATTCTGCTGCAGATTTATCTGTGGCCCATCCAAGGCAGCAGCTACTACGAAGATGGCACTGAGATCCCGGCACCGGACCCCATCGAAGCTCTGCGCCAGGTGACGGAGGCACTAAGTATGGAAGATCCAGCAACTTGGCAAAGCGGTCGTGCCGTCTCGGCCTTGGCGACGAGCGTGTCCTGCGTCAACCAAGGCTCTGAAACTGCAGCTCGTGGACTGCGCACGTGTGCCTGTCCTCACTGTGCTGCTGCAGTCTGAGCTCTACAGTGCGCGTGTGACTGCCTCTGCCATTCAACGTCCCACCAGCCCCACAAGACACCGGAGACGAGGTCGGCAGATGGGCGCCTCTCCTTGGATGCTTGCAAGCAAGTTCGTGCAAAGCACGTCGTGGCGGGAGGGTCTTACTAGTTGGCGTGCTGAGGTACCGTGTTTGTCTTAGTCTTTGACAACGTGAAGTTTCGGCGATCTGCACCCGTGTGCAACTTCCAAGCAAAGCTCCAGCTCAAACTTCCGACATCCCCCGCTGTTTGAGCAATCGTCCAGGGGTCCGGATGCCACGTTGTTGGGAAGCCTGCAAACCGTAGCCGACCTGAAGATCAGCAAAAAGCCTCCGGTGGGGCAAGTGCGGTGTTTTCAGGGGACGCCACTTCGAACTAGATTAAGACGCCCTGAGTCTGGGGTGGCAAAAGGAGGAAGCAAGAGAAGGTTGCTGTGAGAAGTATCACCGTTTGGCTCGGCAGCCGCAACATCGTCAGCTGGAAGTGCTCACCTACAGGGCATAACTCCCAACCGCAAAAGCTTGTCAAACTCACACTCGGAGTTGCGTCAGGGGCTGTGGCATATTCTGATTTTGGCCGGACCATCTCCCGACCCTCCGCAAACCCTGTGTCCGCACAGTTTTTTGAAGGACCTTACCGTCGATCAACCCCTTGGTGAATGGCACGTGTGGCTTGGCATCCATCCTTGCAGTGTTTCGAGCTGTCGACTGGCTGAAGTTGAGACTGCTACTGGTAGCACTACCGTCGCAACACTGAGTGTTGACAAGGCTGTGGTTCAAGAGTCTGTGGCAGTGGGACCGCTACGCATCGGATGCTTCCGTCGAGAAGCTTCCGCCACCGCTTCAGGCCACCGCCTGCTTTGCGCCTCGTGGCCTTGCAAGATCTTGCAAGATCTTGCAACCTTCGAGCTCGACAGCACCGCTTCGGTAGGACAGCGAGCTCGACGGCTGGAGCAGCGGCCTGGAGGTCACTCGACCTGCTCTCCGCTTTCCGTCCCGTCACAGAGTTGGGCCCGGCACATGTCTTTTGGGTTTGATGATCCGTAGGCAACGGCACTGCGGTGCATCAAATGGTGGTTACGTCGCCGAAACATCCCCGTGCCGAAGGCATCCCACGGTGCTTGAGCTGAATCTGTCACCCGTGACCCGAAGTGTTGCTCCTTTGGAAGGAAGGCGGTTATCCCACTGTCGTCTGGACACTGATGGTGCTGCATGCTGCCCGGCACTGTCTTCAGATGATGCTATCAGACACTATGAGACCATAACTTCCTGCGATGTAACAGTAGAAGTCGTCAGTTGCTTCTGTCGAGGTACTTCGGTGCACCTTGTTTGTGAATGAAGACTCCAAGCAGGACACGGCCGCCCAAGGCCTCCATGCCTTGAATCCGGGGCAGGGCAAAGCCTCTCCAGGAACGATCTGGGCGCACGTTGCTGAGCGCGCTCGCTGCCTTCTTCGATCGCTTTGCCACCCCTGGCGCCAGCTCAGGGACTTTGTCCTTCTGCATGGGGCCTGCTGCTGGGCTTGAGAGCGAAGATGGGGCTTCTCTAGGGCTACCGTGCGGTCTTGGGAGGAGGGCCGGTGCTCGCACCCAGAGTTTTAATTTTAAGTCGTCATCTTGCCTTTCAATACACGAAGACGACAAGGGAGGAGCACTGTCGTTTGCCTCTTCAGGATGGCATGAGCACAGCATTTGAGCCGATCCCAGCCTACGAGGATGGGCCCGGCTTGCCCAGCTAGCATGCGACTGTAGGGATCCCTTCAATTCCGTGTACTTTTGCCGACAGCAGCCAATCAAAGCACGTCCTTATTGCTGGCAGGATACGTTTCAATGCGCATCAGACGAGGCTTACGGAATCTTGGCACGTATTTGCCTTATCTTCATTGATATACGTGAAGGCTTACTGGCTACCAGCAACCGCAGCCAAGGCGGCCTGTCCGTCCTCGACCCAACTACAACCTGTGAGACATCCGTGGCTTTCGGGGTTGTGCCCAGCGAGCTGGCTGGGAACTCGGGACGATTCGTTGGACAATTGCAGTAATCCGGCAGAGAAATTAAGCCTCCCGCCAGGCCCCACAGCTACCGGCAGCAACACGCACTGAGCTCAGACTTGTGGGCTTTGGAACGCGCACTTAGCAGAAATTGGGTGGTCTGCCGGCAGGCTTGCTGCAGGCTTACGAGCTGCAGCGCGCCCAGCGCCTCTCCGCAACAGCCCTCGCCACCTGGAAGCCAAAGTGCCATAGAGCAAAACAGGAACCCTGTCTGAGATTAGAGACATCTTCTTTGAGGCTTCGTGCTGCGAAGAGGAGCTCTCTGCCCGCGAGCTCGGGGCCGAGGCGCTGGAGGCGGCCGGAAGAGTCACAGAACAGGAGCATCGGACTTCTTGTGCAAATCCAACCTGCGCGCAGGAGCTTTTCATGGAGACGGCTACACCATGCAACACGATGCCAGCAGCTGCTCCTTCTCAGCCAGTTTCTGCAGCTTGGTCCTGAGGTTCGTACCGGCGACACGGAGAGTCATCCTGGATCACAACCCGCCCGACAATTCACGTGGTATGGGGAGAGCGAAACAAAAACACTGCTCACATCTGCTTACTGGTGAGTTGAATCGTAAGAACGACTCTGCATGTTCTCTCAGCTGAATGTGAGATCTAGGCGTTCGAAGATTGGCTCCTTCCATGGAACAGCGAACAGTTTGACCGGCTTAGCCCGACCTGAAACCTGAAATAGTGCAGGTAATTGTACTGTGTGATGGCGAGCTGGCAGTTGGCATCCTACAGAAGGCACTGCGAGTCAGCGAAGCCGGCGAGTCACGGACATGTCAGTGCCAAAATCCTGGCTTGAAGGTGTAAGTAAGATGTTTCTTGACTTGACTCAGGTGCACTTGAAACATTGAACCGAGTTTACTTCTCGCACTTGATTGCAGCGAGATCTTTGTGATTCCAAAACAGGTGGTCCCCAAGCCTGGCTGGACGGCGCCGTTCTTGCATCGGCGAGATGGCGTCAGCTCTTTTGCCCTGCAGCTTTGCGAGGCCATGGACATCCACGGACGGCGTGTGCAGTAATAGCCGGCTGGGGAGAATAAATAGCCTTGGCCATGACAGAAGACCATCTGCGGGGAAGGTCCGAGAAAGCGATGGTCTCTTGACCCCCTGGGACTCGACAGCCAAAGAGCATTGGCCGCTTGCTATGCAACTGCAGTTCTTCTGCTGTCTTCAGATATGCCGGTGTGCACTGCAGCAGTGTGCGGTCGGCTACAGCTGCCAAGGTTCTATGCTTGTGACTTTGTTTGCTTGGCTGCCTTGCAGCCCGTGTTCACCCGAGGCCAGGCTGCTAAAAAGGACGTGCCTAGCTAACGCTTAGGCCATGCTTGACACGAAGTGAGTTTAAGTCTGAATCTTGGGTATGGTATGGGCAAGATGCAGTAAGACGCACATCAACAGGAGCCATGAGTAACTGTGTTTAATTCAATTCCACTGACAGGTAGTGTTCCACATACATTCAGATGCGTGCAAACGGCAATGCCAGCTGAGTGCGGTGCGGTGAGGGATTCCGCATGATTGTGTTGGCCCAACTTGTGGCCACTCGCCTGCGGCTAGCGGCAGCCGTTCGAGCCGGCCATGCGGCATCACCAACCGCAGCGAGAGAGCGAGAGGTATTCGTGGAAACACTTCCAACCAAGTGAGGACGGTGCTTTCGTGAGATCGGCGGTTGTGGTTCTTCTTGTGCAAGATAGTAGTCGTTCCAAGGTCGTGCAGACAGTTTTGATATGGGCGCCCCGCGCACAAAACGATATTACACCTTCAGGATCTGTATGCTCGCTTTGTGTGCTGTGTGCATGGCGCACTTGGACATGTGTTTCGCAAAGGAACCATGATGTGCCCATGCTTGAAATGTGCCAAGTTGCGAAGTCATCCCTGTGTCACTTGGGAGGGCAATGCCGTGGCAAGCACTTGCGCAGAGAGCGAAACCGATGGAAGGTGGATCCAGAAGGCAGCCGGGTGGGTGAGGGTGAGGGTGTGGTGGGGTCGGGTGTTCAGAGGCGAGAGACGTTGCTGAGCTGGCCAGGCCTGGAGAGATGGCAGAAGATGCAGGCCCTGCTTTCACAGGCCGGCGAAGGACTTTTTTGAAAACTGTTGAAAGCAGAAGGCAGAGCCTGGTCATTCTTCGCACTTCTGTGATTTACCAATGGGGGCGGCAGATCCGCCGGGACTTAAAGCATCAGACAGGGCAGCAGGATGGCGCTAGTGCGATCGTCCTGCAGGGTCATGTGCAACGATGAGAGCAGTGGCCCACAGTGAATCCTCTATTGCTTTTCGCTTGTGACTCCGCTGCGTTGTGTGCAGATAGTCGGGAGTGTTCAAACGGACGAACCTTTTCTCTGCAGGTGGGCTTGCATCACTGACGACGAGATCTCAAACCTTGTGACAGAAAATGCAAAAAAGCAGAAAGAGACTGAGGCTAAAAAGCTTGGCAAGTGACTTGCCATCCAAAACCAAAGAAAAAACAGAGCGAGAGAACGCCTGCCAAAAAATCTTCCAAAATTAAAAATGCCAAGAAGCAGCTGCTGCCTGGCATTGCGGGGTCTGGGGGGCAATCCAGTCAGTTCCTACAGGAACTTCAGTCCTCGCTTGTGACATACAGCAGGAAAGAGACACGTTCGACAGTTGATCAAGAGGAACTGGTGCAACTGCTGGTGTAATTAGCCATCTGGGAACAATCTGCAGATCTCGACAGCCCCTGGGGCCCGTTTTGCACCGGCAACAGTGTGCAGTTGGCGGCTTCAGAATACCTGCTGCGCCATGTCACCGTATTAGACGTACGATCTCTACTCCAGTTCGGTCTCGAATCCGGCGAAGGTAAACTGAAGCCGCATCTGCCATGCTTGCAACCGGGATGCTTGGGAGCATGGGTGTCTGGTTTATGCCTTGTGCAAGCGAGCACAAAGATCTGCTGCTAGACGGTCTTCTCAGCCTGTTTCGGTGCAATAGGCCTCGGCACAGCTTTGCCAATTATCCCTGTTGCGCATGATGCCCTGCAGCACAGTGGGCTCTGCTTCTTTTTTGCGACGACATGCAGCACTATGCATCATCCTCTGCAGTTTCGTAAGTGCCTCCATGCCACGGTCTCACTTCCGAGGAGTGTCCCAGCCGCATGAAATCACATGTTGTCCGCGGCAATCTAAGAAAGGTCGGGAGATCTTTGCTAAGAAGATGCACCTGTCATACAGACGTGGTGTGGAAGCTCTTGCTTTCAGAGATGGACGCTTCCGCATCCCAGATCATCGGACTGCAAGTCAGATCACAGGCGTTGCTTCCCCGGTGTTACCAGCAAGTGGCCTAACCTGAGTGTCCGATCTTGGGATGCCGAGCCGCACAGAAGCCCAGAAGGCATCCGGGAGGGGGGGGAGGGGGGGCCATGATTGGAGTTCAATTTTGTTCTACGGATTCTACGGGTTGGCACGCCGAGCTGAACTGCAAAGCGCAAGGTCGTGCTGCAGTTTCTGTCAGGGTTGCCCGTCGCAAGTTAAGTCTTATAGTAACATGCGCAACTCTTGCGATAAACAAGCTTAGGGTGACATGCGGAACCACTGGCTTGACCAGTCTTGCTGTCCTGCGGAATCGTGAGGGTACGGCCACAGCCTCGTAAGCACCGAGTGACACTTGAAACCTCTCCATGGCAGGGATGCACCTTCCCGAGATCTTCTGGTGCCGCCGGCGGGGTGCTGGCGTGCCAGCAGCGCACATGCTTCTGCCCAAGAATCTGTGAACTAGCTATGTGCCAGAGCCACATGAGGCTGTATCCTGTACATGCGCAGCTTAGATTGCGATGTTCAGGAGGAAGGTGCTCCTTTCGAAAGGCAGAGATTTCTCCTCTATGGCTTCCTGAGCCGGGTAGATGTCTACAGAGCTATCCGGTGCATTGCTAGAGTGCTCGTGTGCTGTAGATTGCTGTAGGAAATTACCTAGGCGACGTGTAGTAAGTAGGAACAACCTCTGGCATTTACGTACCCGGTACAGCGGCCGCCACAATACTGCATGGGAGATCTGCTGTTCATCGCCTCGGTTCCGGTGTTCGGATGTCCAAGAGACCGGATACTATCTTCAGAAGTGCATTCTAGTTTCTAGCCCTCACGATGAACGAACCTCGGGACCAAATTTTGCTGGACTATTGTGCTTTGTCGTTTTTGATTTGGTTAACTGGAGCATGGAAGGTGCTGCAATCCCTAACAGCTAGGCATTCCCTGGCAGTTTCCTGTGGGAGATGCGCATGCCTTTTTCTGCCAGTCGGTACATTATGACCCGCTGTAGCTCTGGCATGCAATGCTGGCTTGCTTGGCGTGCGCATATGGATGCTGTGACGTGGAGCCTTGTACAGTTGCCCGCGAAGCTGAGGAACCTTTTGATCCAGATGTTGAGACGGTGTCTGGCAAGAGCTAGTGTCAGACCACGTAACTTACTGACAGGCCACCGAGAAGAGAGGTCGCTGCTCCAACAGATATCCCGAAGCAACCGTGCGCGCCGGGGCAGTCGCCACGTCGCGCTACTGTACGACAAGTCGTGCCTTCAATTCCGCCGGCTGCCCCCTAACACACCACGGAAGTGCGGGAGCTGGTTTTCTGGGTCGGGACATTCGCTTCTTGAGCTTGATGTCAACTTTTTTCGCGTGGAACTACGGGACACTGCTTTTGCAGTGCCCTGTAGCTGGTGTAAAACGCATCCCTTTCATTCGCGAGTGCAAAGTGCTGTGCTCGTGTTTCAGTTTTGAATACTGCTCCCGGCATGCTGCCTGCAGGCGACTTGTTCGTTAGCTTGCAAGGTGCACTACTGTAACCACCACCGTCTAGCAGCTCCAAAAGCACAACGCGAGGCAAGGCTCGCTGGCAGCATGCTTGAGTTGCCTTTACAGGCCATGCTTGCTTCCTAAAAAAGACCGACGATCTCAAAACATCGCCAGCTGAGAAAACTGTGGCCCGCCTGCAGATGCATCGGAGCTCATGGGTTCTTGTTCAGGCCAGTTCCGACATCTGGGTTGAAAGCTTCATGCATCATGTGCTCAGCATGTGGGAAGGCAGCAGTAAAACTCATCATGATAAGGAGTGGCCACGGAGAAGGACCAAGACACGTTCGAAGCAGAAGAACATCAAAAGGCTGTGTGACTCGTGCCAACTGCCTGTCGCCGATAATGTTGGGCATGCACAACACTAGCAAATCGCTGCCGCTGCCAGCTCTCGCGAAGGCTTCCTGTAAGATCGCCTGTCTAGTTAATTTTGAATTCATGCTGCCAGCTGCTGGGTATTTTAGATCTCGGTGGCAGCCGTCCCCGAAGAAATACAGCTCAGCTGCCACTGTTGATGTCAGACATTTGCAGCGTTTTCAGTCCCCGCAAGTGTGAGAGGGGCGTTGGAGTTCCCCCAGTCTGTTGCAGGGACACTCGATCCGAGGAGGTCAAGCAGCAAGTGGCAGCTAGGCACGTCGTGCAGATCGTGCAGCCTGCGGATCTGGAAGGTTGCGAAGCGCTCAAGCACGCTTGTCAGGCATATCACTACAGTCACTACATGTTGTAGGTCGCGGACTCGCTGGCTCATGATACTTTGGAGGATAGGTGGAAAGAAGAACTAACTTACGCTCAAGCTGCAATGGCAAAAAGTCTCCTTCATGACATGTGGTCCAGCAAGTGAGAAGAAGCGACAACCAGTCACAATTCCGGTGCTGCTTGTTTGCTTGTCCGCTCGGCGCTGGAGCCATTGAAAAAGGACGGGTATGCACCGCTCTGTACATCATTCATAGGACGCCCCGGTTTAATCGACCAGAGTGGGCAGGCGTGCCCCGCCACTTGCATGGACGGCAACCGTGCTGCAGTAGTGGCATCTCAGAGCTTTAGAGGTGCTCTTTCATGTAGGCATCGATCATTCAGGCCTTGGCGTGGTCGATGCCTTGCTAGAGGTGGCCACAACCAGCCCGGATCTCATGGCGCGGGGGTGGGGTTCCCCCGTGAGCGGATGGACCCAGACGACTGGTCCTGTAAGACTTGAAGAGGCATGAGCCCCCGAAGTCCGATATCAAAGGGGTCGCGCGCACTGCTTGTACAAAAAGCATATCGTACGGAGAGCTCTTCTTGCAGTGGCTGCGGCTGTTGCCGTCTTTAATTCATGTTTATCGCGATGGTGATGCGAGAGTCTGTTAATGTGCATGTCCTGGATGAGCGGGCGTAGAAAGAAATTGATTGACTTAGACACACCCGGTCAAGACCAGGCCGTGTGGATGCCGAGTGCATCGCAGCCCGGAGATCCGCTGTCGAGGCCTTCGCGTTAGACCAGCTTTGCTTGCAATGCCTCATGCGTCTCTCTGTGACCACTCTGACCAGTGTGGCAAGCTTCTCTCTGTGACAGCCTTCGCAGGCACTGACTCCGGCAGCTCGGAGAGGCCTCCTGGGACATGTGATGCTCTCGTGGGCGCGTGCGCGCGCGCATGTGTGTCTGTCTGTGTCTGTCTCTGTGTGTGTGTGTGTGTGTGTCTGCGTGCGCCAGAGTGCAGCACCGTGTCAGGGCCTTCGCCATCTTGGCTCTTGATTTCTTGAAGACTTGTCGAGCCAGGGGTCCCGCATAGACTGCATATAGATATCCACGATGGGTGCTGGTCCCTCCTTCAAGGCTTGGCCAGGAATTGCTTGCACCGTTTGCTCCCGCAACGAGCGGCTCCCTTTACTGGCCCCGTCTGTCAGGTTGGCCCGGAAGATGTCGCAGGCGTGCTCCCATTTCTGCTTGATGCAGCTCGCCAAGGCAGTAAGAAGTACATTGTTGATGGAAAGAAGTTCGCTCCGCACCTTGGAAGCATGCGCAGTGGTGCTGATGCGCAGGTTTGCCAACGGGGCAAATTCATAGAAACTCTGAGGTTCGGGATGGTCCCTCACCAGGTGCAGCCTGAGAAGGTGTCCAGCTATGAGGCACACGTTGATGACGCTGAGACTGAAGCAGCGGGATATCAGGCTATAACCATCCTGTAACCCATAACCTGATTTCTTCCACAAGTGCGGGAGCTCGTGAGAACGCTGCACGGGGGTTCCGGGTATAGTTTGGTTCATGTGGACAGAAGACCTGGCAGGACCCCATACGGAGGGCAACATTACGCCAACAAGCACAGAGACACATACACAAACACACCTATGTACACGTAAAAAAATATATATAGTGGAATGAATATGACATATAATATATAATACAATATCCATCTATATAATATATATTCTTTAAATACTATATATATATATACATATCTGTGAGATTCGACCGAGTCAACATGTTGCCTGTGCCCGTCAGCCGGCCCGAGACAAGACCGTGTGCTTCAAGCCCGCCAGTCTTTAGGACTCAGGTCCGCTTGCATGCAGTACAGAAGCATGAGCACA